GGTGTTACCCAGCGTAAAATAGCAAAGACTTTTAAGTTATCATCATCAACCGTGCATAACATCATCAAAAGATTCAGAGAATCTGGAACAATCGCTGTGCGTAAGGGTCAAGGCCGTAAAACTCTACTGGATGCTCGTGATCTCCGGGCCCTTAAACGTCACTGCACCTCAAACAGGAATGCCACTGTCAAGGAAATAACAGAATGGGCTCAGAAATACTTCCAGAAAGCATTGTCAGTGAACACAATCCACCGTGCCATCCGCCGTTGCCAGCTGAAACTCTACAGTGCAAAGAGGAAGCCATTTCTAAGCAAGCTCCACAAGCTCAGACGTTTGCACTGGGCCAGGGGTCATTTAAAATGGAGTGTGGCAAAATGGAAGACTGTTCTGTGGTCAGATGAGTCACGATTTGAAGTTCTTTATGGAACACTGGGACGCCATGTCATCCGGACCAGAGAGGACAAGGATAGCCCAAGTTGTTATCAACGCTCCGTTCAGAAGCCTGCATCACTGATGGTATGGGGTTGCATGAGCGCTTGTGGCATGGGCAGCTTGCATGTCTGGAAAGGCACCATTATTGCAGAGAACTATGTTCAGGTTCTAGAACATCATATGCTCCCATCTAGACGTCATCTCTTTCAGGGAAGACCCTGCATTTTTCAACACCATAATGCCAGACCACATTCTGCAGCAATCACAACATCATGGCTACGTAGGAGAAGGATCCGGGTACTGAAATGGCCAGCCTGCAGTCCAGATCTTTCACCTATAGAGAACATTTGGCGCATCATAAAGAGGAAGGTGCCACAAAGAAGGCCCAAGACGATTGAACAGTTAGAGGCCTGTATTAGACATGAATGGGAGAGCATTCCTATTTCTAAACTGGAGAAACTGGTCTCCTCTGTCCCCAGACGTCTGTTGAGTGTTGGAAGAAGAAGGGGGGATGCCACACAGTGGGAAAAATGGACTTGTCCCAACTTTTTTGGGATTTGTTGACGCCATGAAATTTGGAAACAACAGATTTTTCCCTTAAAATGAAACATTCTCTCAGTTTAAACTTTTGATCTGTGATTTGTGTTCTATTCTGAATAAAATATTAGATGTTGGCACCTCCACATCATTGCATTCAGTTTTTATTCACAATTTGTTTAGTGTCACAACTTTTTTGGAATCCGGTTTGTAGAATCAGTTTGTGTAGCTACACTAAGCCTCTAACCAGTTCCCTGCTGGTGTCCAAACTAAATCCCAATTAGTTTCTGGTCAACACGTCTCTCACGGTGAATGACTCCCTGCGTTTTTATCTGATACGTTTTAATCAAACATCCCATCAAACCGTTGGAAACGAGTCGTCATGGAGACGGTCCATCGAGGCGGCTCCAACTGTCTGTGCACAACAGAACGAGCTGCTGTGACACTCATTTGTTGTAATATTCAACATGTGACATGTCAAACAGTTGAAATGGTCACACGTCCTAAAACTTTACTGACACTTTTCTTGCGAGGGCCGTTTGTGAAGCACTGGGTTTACAACCAGAAGTTTTGCTCTGCAGGTTCACCTGAATCAGGCGGGATCTGATTCATGCCGTCATTGTGTCGGTGTAATGTTCAGCCGTGCAGGGAGTCATCTGAAGATGCTCCACCTGCTGCTTAAAAAGATGAAGCGGGTAAATATCTAAAACCTGCTGAAAAGTACGCCCCGAGGACCAGGTTTGGGTCTAATGGGACAACTCTGGACAGAAGTGAACACGAGCCGAGCACGACAACGAGCCACAGGCAGGGTGGACGAGTCCGGGACACGTCTCTGCTCCGAGCGCTGAACCAGAAAAGGCTAAAACTGCTGAAGCCCTGAAGCAGCTCAGATCAAAGATTGTCTGGTCCCTGACCTCATCTTGAATTTAGGCTGCATTCACACCAGCCCCGTTTAGTCCGATTTAATCCAACTCTAGCTTGTTTTCCTAGAAAGTCCGGTTCCTTTAGGGAGGTGTGAACGCACCATTGAACTCTGTCACGGAACAAAAAGGTGAACTCTGGCCCGGGCTAAAACCTAGGTCTGGGTCCGGTAGAAGAGAACTCCAGCACGGTTCCAGTACAGTGTGAATGTAAACAGACCGGACCCGCTCCACAGGACAAACAAACACATTTCTCTTATATGGAGCCGTCAGCTGACTTGTGTGAAAAACAATATTCTCCATGGTCTTCTGTCTCATCTTCTGCTCATGCTGAGTCCATTGTTGAAAAATAACAAAATATAACTCCTAAAACTGATAAAACTTGATGCCACTTCGTTTTTATTTTTATTTACAGAAGAAGAAGAAGACGTGTCTTCAGAGGTTTTTGTGTCGTTTCTTTCAGTAGTTCTTGGTGCAGCGCCCCCACAGACGAGCGGGGAAACAGGTTGGTTCAACAGGTTGCTTCAACAGGTTGCTTCAACAGGTTGGTTCAACAGGTTGACTCGACTGCACAGTGCAGTGTGAATGCAAACGCTCCAGCTCAAATGTAACAAAAGGTCATGAATGTTGGTCCCGAACCGAGTCTTCATGACTATCTAGTGTGAAAACGACCTTAATCTGGTTATTAGTCTTTCTTCTCTTCTGTTCCTCCCTCCTGTTCTCATTTCTCCCACTTGTCTCTGAATTCTGTAGTACCATCTTCCTTTGTGCTCTTCTTTCCACTGTTTTTGCCATTTTTCCTTCAGTTTCTGTTTCACTGTGGTTCTTACTTCTGATTTACTGATGGATATTGTAAAGTTGACTTGATCTTTTGTTGCTGCTTTTGCTGCCCTGTCTGCTGCTTCATTCCCTCTGATCCCTGTATGCACTGGTGAACTGAGACAATTGTTGTTGTTGTTTTTCTTCTTCTTCTTCTTGTGAGAGGAGGGTGTGTGGAGGAGTGGAGGAAGAGCGAGTGTGAGAATATTGTTTATTCTATATCTTTGACTTTTCTTTCTTACTGTTTTTTCACTGGGTGTTAATGTTATTTGTTTAAATTGTGATTTTGTTTAGTTTCGTCACGTTTTAAGGGTTTTATTGTTGGTTTGGGTGTGGCCGTCAGGCGTGCCTGACTGGCCGGCGTCTGACGGC